TGTTATTCTCCATGGTCAAGGCAAAGATGTGCCCTGCAAAGTAGCCTGTTGCCATCTACAGTGCCGACGGTGCATGACGGTGCATCTGGCAAAAGTATGAGTTTGCGCGATTGCCACATGTTGTCCTAGCCGCAGCGAAGTTCGTCATGCCTGTTAAGCATCGCGCAGACAACCTAGGTTGGCACCTCTCATTCAAGGCAAGGATCAGGGATGCCGTTTGATGTGAGTCTGGCACCGGTCGTGCCCTCTCCTTGTAGTATTTTCCCGAGGCAAGGCTGTTTAAAGTGGGACGGCCTTGCGGTTCGATTGCTACTGCCTTGGAAGCACAGGCCCAAAAAAGGTCCTGGTCTGTTCAGAGTAAGCCGTTTGATATGTTCACTGAAATTCGCATCATACGGCTGAGATCCTGTGCCCGTCTTAGGTTCACATTGCTCCCTGCATGTTGCTGATGCTCCTTTCGTGCTGCTTCTCAGTTCTAGGACTCTGATCTACTTCGACTCGCTCCGAACCTTCTTACCACCCCAATCAACTCCCCCAAAACAAACATCAACAAACAAGGCAGACCCCAGCCTTGCTCAATGCCTAAGACCCCAAGACGAGCCAGCGTTTGTGTTTTGGTTTGACATATGTCAGGTGGGGTTTAAGGCCAGCCATACGAGAAAGCTAGCTGAGAAATAAACTCATGCATTCTGGCTTGGTGTAAAGAAATCACATGTCCAGTTCGACAACGATTGGGATTCATGAGAGCAGCTGCCGATGTGGCTGCGATCTCTCAAGGTCCCCCTAGTTAGTTCACAGCAGCTAGGGCATTCGGATGGAAAACGAGTGGTGCTGCGGCCACCTGCAGCTCTTAAGTCTTGCCACCTGACGGACCCCCCGGAGTCACGATCCTAGCAGGCCCAGCATTTCTCAACACTGTTGGTGATCATCTTCATTTGTTAAAACAGTGCGTGAATGGTAGTTCCAGCGGCACGATCCTTGATTGAACAGTTTGTGTGTGTAGGATCGGTGTTGATGCCTTGGGTTTCAGTGGTGCCATGGGTAACTGCTATGTTTTCCATAGCTTTCCGACTGGCAGCATCACAGCAATCCTTGATATGATTTTTGTCTTTGCCCTTCACCAGGGGCGACGACGACTACTACTACCACTACTACGACGACGACTACTACCACGACTACGACTACGACTACTACCAATACTACTACTACTGCTACTGCTACTGCTACTGCTACTGCTACTGCTACTGCTACTGCTACTGCTACTGCCACTGCCACTGCCACTGCTTCTGCGACTGCTACTACTGCTGCTGCTGCTGCTGCTACTGCTACTGCTACTGCTACTGCTACTACTGCTGCTACTGCTACTCTGCTACTACTGCTACTACTGCTACTACTGCTACTACTCCTACTCCTACTCCTCCTACCACTACTACTACCACTACT